CATCTAAAAATTTTGATTTTACCATTGATCGAAAACATCTTACAGAAAAGCCATATGGAACATACAAACACGGAAGTAAAAATACAAGCTAAAACTAAATTAACAAACCAATGAGTATGACGAAGACCAAGAACCAAACTGAACCAAAAGAATATGACATATAGATAAACCGCACGGCCTTATACTTCTTGAAGGCTAATGTTACTTTTTAAAAAGAAATATTTGTCCAAGATTTTAAAATAAACAAAACTACCTTCAGTAAAAAATCTGAAGTGCACGTATTTATCAAAGAATATAATTTGGCGAATTTATCCAAAACGAAAAATTTAAAAACATATACTTTGGAACAGTGTTGGTTGAGACGATTTGGACCAAAGAAGCTTACTTTAATGGGCCAAGACTGAAATAAACTTTTCTTCCGATTATATAGAACTTTAGAAGATGTTATAGTATTGTGTGACTATTTGTTTGAATACAAAGCGTACATGTCGCATGAGATTCTGTGGAGCAATGAAATGTGTAAACATCTTAATTCCAATCCGAACAACTTAATCCATTAAAACGTAATGTATACTCCTTAATTAAAAATTTGAGATCTACGAGAGCATATTAAGGAGTGAATTCAAATCAATAATTATTCTGTGTTGGGGTCCACTACAAACACTGTGCACCACGTCATACTAACCCGAGGTTGCGAAAGGCTAGACCTGTCCCTACATAAATCTTAACCGTCCAAATTTAACCGTACCCATTTCACAAAGATCTACGGTTATAACAAATCGTCTTGAGTACGACACTTGACACTACAAAAGAAAGTAGGTAAGCACTTTCCATGGCTGCAACTGAAATGACGATTTTTGGAATAAAATGGAGTGGGATAGGCCATTTATGCATTCCATACCAAAATTATCATTTACATGGAATAAAAAAAAAGTTATGTAAAACGATAGAAAAAAAAAGTTAAAAACTATTCCAAAAGAAAAATGATGTGAATGAAAGAGATACAATTATATAACTAAAAAAATATTATTCTTTTAATTATACTTTTTTTTTTGCATTCTATTTTATTCTTTAAAAAATCCACCATTCATTTTACATAAATATTTGCCAACAATTTTTCATTCCATTCATCTTATTCATGTAACTGCTATTATTTCATTCAACTCTATTCCATTTTTTTTAGTTCATCTTCTTGAAAGAAAAATCAATGGCTTCGTGGATCAGAACCACTGCGAGTTACTCTACTCATCAAGAGCACTCCGTCGATTTCTTTGGAGAACTGTTAATCGTCACCGTTACGTCGGATTCCTCCGTAATCAGCCGATGGATCCACGACGTTTACTCATACATCAGTGTCCGTTCTACTCTCATCCTCTCGTCGTCGGAGTCGGCGCTCAGTGGACACCGGCTTGGTATTACTACGCCGATTCACCACCGGAGAGTTATTACTCCGATTCTCCACCGGAGAGTGATTACAACTTCAGTCCTCCGGTTGATACTCTCCAGTTATGCGTTGGTAATCGATCTATCGTCATCCAGTTGTCTCACTGTGACCGTGTCCCAAACATCCTCCACATCTTTATCGAAGATCAAGAGACGACGTTTGTTGGTGTGTGGAATAGTCAGGACGCGAGAAAGCTTGAGGAATCTAAACATCAGTTATAGCTCTCGAAACTTCTGGATTTGAGGAAGTATGTTGTTGATTCACATGGAAGAAGCTTGAGGGGTTGTTCGTTTGAAGAGATTGTTGAGGTTTGTTTGGGTCGTCGTGGAGTAAGGCTAGATCCAGAGATAAGAATGAGTGATTGGAGGGATTTTAATCTTAGTCATGATCAGATCCTTCAAGCTTCGATTGATGCTTATGTTTGTTGCAAGCTTGGTGTACGTAATCGTCTCTGGGAAGTTTTAGAAAACGTTTTTCAATGGTAATCTCTAAATGTTGCATGCAAATCTTTTGAATCTTTCTTTTGTTAAGGTTGTGTGAAAGAAAGTAACGGGTGCAAATGGTTCTATCTTTTAGTGAATGGAATGAAGCATTCCTGTTATTCCACACAAAAATTTATCATTTACGATAAAAAGAATAGAATAAACATTCCACTTATCCTACACAAAAAAATTAAAATTCAAAGGAAATCATCCCTCGCAATTTTGATGTGGAATTAATGGGATAG